AAATGAGCTATGGGTATTTCCAAATTGAAAGAGTAGCTGAAAAATGGTTTCCAAATGGGGTTTCTTTTAAGGGGGGGGGCCCACTGTAAAGTGATGGGGATGTAATTCAGTGGCCGTCAAAAAGTCTTGAGGAATGTCTCTGGGATGAGTCAGGACTAGAGAACTCGGGTGTGTCTCTTTAGAGTCCCTGATGTCGGCGGTGGCTCAGAGCTTTCAGGAGAGCCTGCAAGTGCAGGAGAGAGGAGCTTTCAGGATGCATATCCGTCTTTTGCTCACTGTGTCTCACAAAGAAAGAAATACCTCGGCCCAGTACAAGAGAAGTCTCGGCGGAAATGAAGCCCTGCCAGTATCCACGGGTTGGGTTAGAGTCCCGAGTTGTGTCAACAACAACCCCCAAAAAAGCCGACATGGGAATTCATTTCCAGTACGGTAAATTTAATCGTACGATGAGCTCATCAGTAGAAAGGTAACGTGATCACAAAGGACGGCTGTCCCCCCCTTTTTTTTGGCTCCTTGTGAGACTTGTGCTGTTTTTGTAAAGTCGGGTGTGAGATTTCTTGGTTGACTGGAGTTCGGGGATATAACCTCGACAGAAACGACACCCGGGACAAAAAGCTGACCGTGGGTTTAGCCGCTCCACTCTGGCTTCAGAGGAACAAACTTGGCCTGGTAACCTCAGCTGAAGAGTCAACAAGACATCCTTTTGGTGACGTAAATGGATGTCCCTCCCCCACAGAACAGGCCCCTCTTGGGGGTACGAGCTACTTGCAAATCCAACATTTGTATTCGTGGCTTATTCCAAAGTTTGCTCTGGTGATTTCTGTGGGTTTTGCAAGAGAAAGGGACAGAGGGAAATTGGAAAGATATTGACACCCCCCCTCATTATTTGGAAGTCACTTTGACTCCAAACAAATCTTCTGTTTCTCTTTGATGACTGTATTTTTGGGCGGGGTTTCGCAACCTTGGTTTCTACTGTAGAACCAACCGTAAATGGCAGAAAGTGGCTCGTCAGAATTTGGGCAGAGAAACTGCAGTGCAACTTGGGCAGCGGTGGTTTTGTTTAGGGGGAATACGTCGAGGGAGGGATGGGGTTGTGACGGCAAACGATTGTGCAAGAAATGGTTTTAGTGCCGTCTAGCAGTGCAGACGCGAGGGAAACACGAAAATGCCCAAAAGCTCCAGCTGATCTTGTTTTTGCCAATTTCATCAAATATTAATATTGACTGGGGTTTGAAGCCGATCCAACAATATCGCTGTCATAAAAAAAAAGCTGGCAGAGATGGTTATTAAAGTTTAGTGCTTTCCTGGTACGGAGCAGATGTTTGTGTGGAGTCTTTTTCCATAGGCATAATTGCTGGCTGTTTGCTGCAGATGTTTTTCAGGTTTAGGCCGGCTAGGAGTACTCACTGTTGTGTGTTTATGTAAATGTACCGGTATATTCAGGGTTTTTTTTTATTGTTATCTTGCAGGCGTCTGTCTGTACATTCAATTCTGTTTACGATGTGCTTTTTTCAGGCAGACATACTTTTCGCTGGGTTTGCCTGTTATCTTTTTCTATTTTTTTTCCCCACACAAAGAGCCCAAGTTTCATTTGAAAATCCTGATAATCTATCCTTGCACATGCAGATCGTTAAACACCTGTACTTTTTCCATCAGTGTTCTGTACTTAGTTCCGAGAGTCTCTTAAATACATGGCACGCTGTCGGCTGTTATTTTTTTGTTTGGCTCCACTGACTGATGTTGAACAAATGACAAGCATTTTCCCAGTCGTTCCTTTCTCTCTGAGTTTTTGCATTCGAGTCTTATCGGACGGAGGGGTGAGTGAACGAGCGACAAGCGACACGGACTCGCTCCCTGGCAGCTACCCGCACTTCTCTTCGCCAGAAGCCCGCGCAAACAAGTCCCAAATTCAATCGAGCGACGATCGGCAAATAAAGCACGCTGTTTCTCCTCTCCCTCCCTCCCCGCTCGTGCCTTTTTTAAAATTTCTTCCCCCCCCCTTCGGTCAGGCACATTTGCCGCCTCCTTACATCAGATGAGATGAACTCCCCAGAATATCCGATATTCTTAATTGCTACAACTCTTAATCGATCAGGTTCCCGACAACATTTTGCCCAAATCCATATCGGATTAGGTTTGATTTTTCTCCCCCACCCAGCACTGACTGTGTCCAGAAGGGGGAAATATTGCCAGGCATTGTAAAAGCATTGGCAACAGTGTGTGTCTTAGTATTTCATTGTCCGCATGCATGTCAAGAGCCTCTCCTTTTATTGCAAGGTCCAAGTGTAATTCCAACAGTTATTTTGCAAACTATCATGAGATACATTTTGTTGAGAATTTACTGGACACAACCCATCTTGTGAATTTATTGGTCACTTTTATTGTATATAAACCTTCCCAAGGTCTCAAAAATCCTCCGCTTTAATAGAAAAATCAGGAAAACGTTCTGTACACCTGAACTTTGTAGGCATACCAACCTACCGTCATTCAAAATCTGCCGCGCTGCAAAACTGTGGTGTAGATTTAACACCAAATCTAAATAGGGCAACAAGAGTCCAACATTGCCTGGTATGGATACCAAGGGTGTTGATGTTACACTTAAACTTGGTGGTTATTTGAATGCAGTGGTGGATGCGGAAATATCCGTGATGTTCAAGGTTAAAATCATATATTTACAAATGTGTAGATGTATTTTCCTCAAAAGACTCTTGAAGCTGATTGGCCGTTTGGATGATTAACAAGTTAAAAAAACGAGCCAAGGTTGCAGTCGACCTTGGTATACATTTTCAGCTTCTCCCTGTTGCCATGGCAATGCAATGGAATGCAATGGCTGCCACAGTACAGCTCACCCTTCCAAGGCAGCTGGAGACCGACTGATGTACATGTAGATGTTTTGTGCATCAGGAGGTTCTACGCTTATACGCATGAAATTGGAAGGGAGGAAAAGTACCAGCATTGAATTGTGTTTTTACTCACTCGCGCGTGTTGGTTTTGTTTGTTTTAGTGCACCATTGCACAGTTCATTGGAACAGCTTGAAGTTAACGAGCTTTCACAATTTGAAAAGAGTAGCTCAGTCTTTCTGGAGGGGAACAGCTGGTCAAAATGTTGTCATGTACTTTTGGCGAAGTACACCGTACGGCTTTACTGAGGCTGTAATTGTATGTGGCAGAAAGCAGACACATTCAGCCGGTTTTTTTTTTGCTTTAAAAAAAGAAGAAAAGAAAAGAAAAAAAGATTATGAAGGCGTCAACTGGTCCGATCGCTACGTTCTGGCGCGGAGCTTTCAAAGGGGTGCAAATTGAGGCGGTTTGGTCTTTGAACTTGAATCGGAGTATTTGCAGAGAACCGTCTCAAACAGTTGTATCATATTAGGGATTTACTCTTTAAGCATGGCACAAAGTGGAGTTGGATCCCTTAGTGGATGAGGCACCTGTGCTCGTTAGCATTCATGTCGGTAGACAGAATGCACTTTGAATGAACCTGACAAAATGTCGAGTATATATTAATGGATTCGTCACATTTGAATAACGTTTCTCATCAGCAAAAAAGTTCAAGGACGTGAATTGCCGTCATTGTAACAGCCTCGGGGGGAATGATATTGTGCTGGCCATCAGGCCTGGGCGGCACCGTGTGATCCGCGTTGCGGAACCATTGCAAATGAGCTTCCCTTGTCAACAAAGGCTTACAGACAATGATATACATAATAATGGTGCAGAAAAATCAAGGGGCCCATTCTTCAGTCGGTATTTGGGTCAGATCTGGGCCACAGAAGTTCGCATGACTCCGAGCGAGATATTATTAATGTCACAGTCACGCGTGGTGCAGGATGTTTTAATTCAAGTTGATGACCATTAGTTCTCAGTAATGTCTGTTCTTTCAAAGAAAAAGACCCTCCGTTTGGAACGGGGAAGCAGCTGTAAAAAGTATAGTAAGCGGGCGAATAGGACGTACGTAAATGATATGTGGTGTTCTGCCTCTCTGCTCACTTTAAAAAAGAAGGCAGTGCACTTTTAGGAGCAGAAAAGTTGGGCTTCTGTACCCACTGCCCCTGTCCTTGTACATGTATGCATGCTGTGGAATGATTGGTTGTAAGACGGAAAGTACCAGCAGAGGGCGCTGTTCACCATTCATGTGGTTCATAGAACAGTATACCTGTAGCTGGCGGACCAATAAACTGCCATACACAGCAGTGAGAAATACTCCCACCTGAAAGAAAATCTGGAAACATGTTTGTTTCTCAGGTGTTGAAGATGCGCATCCACTTAAGTGCTCATGTCTTCATCTTTTCCTTTTTTACGTGCACTTTTTAGCAGCTGACTGATGATCTTTGAATATTTGAGTTTTATTGAGAGATCATCACCCCTTGATAGGCGTGAAGCCCGTCGCCATTTTGAAAATTGATGCCTAGCTCCACTGCAAAATAGAGCCATTAGGAGGGCCCCCTTTGGTCCAATATTTTTGGAACTACAAGCTGGATGTTCCGCTGGTAACTACCATCTTTCTTTTTAACAAGCCATCCAGTTTATGTGGTACAAAATGCTCCAATAGCCCAAGAATTTAGTAGCCCGCAGATAGTGAGTTTTGTTGCCACAAGCAGTTGGAGGCTTACTTAGTGGCCTGCAACCAAAAGGCCGAGGTATGTGTCATTCCATGAGGTTGGGGCACAATTTGTGACGGTGTCCTTGTTACATGGGTAACTTTTACCATCTGTCATGACCTGTAGAGTAGGTCATTTACTCTGTAAAAATAGCACACACCTCTGTATTCAGCCTTGCAAGATGTATAACAATGTCAATTTGGAATCCACATTCAGGGAAATAGCTGTTCATTTTTACGGAGCCCATGTAACAATTGACACAGTCACAAATTGTGCCCCAACCTCATGGGATGACCCGTGTGTGTGTGCGCTGGTTAGGAAGTGAGGGGTTTGTTGGTTGGATTCTGCATGTGTATTTCCCGGTCTCATTCCCCTCTTCTTTCTTCTTTCTCATTGCCGCAGCGTGCATTGTCGGGACGTACAAGGCTGGCGTGGGACCCGACCGTTGCAGCCCCTGCCCGGCCAAGAGCCACGCCGACCACAACTCCACGCGGCAGTGCACCTGTATACCCGACTTCTTCCGTGTGCCCGAGGAAGGCCCGGAGGTCGCCTGCACCGGTAGGTACAACCCAAACAAAAAAAAGGGGGGGGGAGGAGTTTGGACTGAGATTCTATACGTGAATCATGGACTCCATCAGCAGAGAAATTTACCTCTGGCGGGAAGTTTCTTTTTTGCTTCACATGTAACATTTATGAAACAATGAAATAGAGCCCAGTGTGGCACATTGTGTGTTAGCACAGGACATCAGTTTAGCCGAGCTTGGCAGAAAGGCTCTCTTTGCAGGTTTCACGTCACTAAACGAGTCCGACACCATCATCTACATCTGAAGTCCACACTTGATCACCATCTGTGCCAGTGGTCAGTGTAAACTTCTTGTTATGATGAAAACAGTATTGTCGTAGGGCCTTTTATTGCTTTGACAGTGTGGTTAGGGAACTTCTGCACTTTTGGGGGGGGCTTTGAGAGTGGGTTACAGAGTAGAGTCTCATTTTCAAAGTGAGAAGTAGTTCCATCAACGCACCAACCGGGAAATGAAAATATCCTGCCCAGAATGTTGCATTGCCATTAACCAGCACCACTCCAAACATCCCCAAAGGATTGCGTGATAAGTAGCCAAGGACAGTTAATTTTAAAAGTTAGAAAGTCTGAGCAAGGCAGTGGGAACAGTGAAAATATATGTACATGTACTCATTGTGATAGTGGGCACATAATATAAATCACCATGATGCAGACTTTGCGCACCAAATGGGCTCAATATTCCCCCCAAAATGCACCCCTGAGATGCCCCTCAATAGCCCACTGACAGACATCCCCAGCAGGTGTAGCACCATACTTGGCAGTGCACCGGGTGACCCAGGCTGACCTCCAAGCGACCCAGGTTGACCCCGGTGTCAGGGATCAGTGGGTAGGAGCCCCTCTCCCCATGTGGTGTCACATGGGGCGCAAGAGCATTGTCGCGTCAGAAGCGATTATTATCTCTGGAAACCCCAGAGTGCGGGTTGAGTGTGTGGGTTTGGTTTGGAAGTAACATTTTGACTTCTTGGAAGGGTAAGACTAAAAGAACTTTCCTAGAGAAGAATGATTGAAGATTTGAAACGGAGACATTCCTTCAGATAAATTCATGTCAAAAGTATAACTGGCTGTACATTTTCATTAGCTTCATTCATTGTTTATGAGATTGAAATCCCCAAAAGTGGGAGAGGTTACCAAAAGAAAATCTGTTCTTGATTTTACAGCCTTCGTGTCTGAGTACTTTCTCTTTTGGTGAATGTGGCAGCCAGTGGTATTCGGAACTGAAATGCCTGTAATGGCCACACCTGGCCAGAATCTACTATCAAATGCCCGTTGTTTTCCAACAAGAAATGAGAATTTGACAGGTCTTAGAATCTGATTGTTAAGTGCAAGTATTGAGCTCTCGGAAAGATGCAAGCTCAGATGCAGTTTGCAAGCATTCGTTCACCTACAGAGATCCCATCTTGAAAGAGTTGGTCTCGTTTGTGGAGACGCGATATGGCAGATGTGTGTTCACCAAGGCGACAGTGTCTCTACTTTATACATACATGTACCTTGGTGGGCAAAAATGAGGGAGGGTATATTGTAGTGTCACGGTTGGAAGTGTACCAAGTCTGTATGCTGGGGAAGCTTTAAAATCCACTTTTCTTCTGCCGAAAATTAGCAGACAGGGAAATAATTCAGAAGTCTGTGACTGTTTTTTTTTTTGTTTTCTTGTTGTTTTTCACTCTTTTTTGGGGGGAGGTCTCCTTTAATTGGGAAATGGGATCGGACTTAATTTCTGGAACAGCATGAAAGGGATCCTCCTCGTCCACCTGTTTCAACAGGAGGCATGAAGAAGAAAAATAACCGCGCTCGGGGTTCCGTCATTCTCGGAGAGATCTGGGCAAACATTTATTCTCCTCTTGGGCAGCGGAGGGTTGAGTGGCCCCCATAATGGTACGTTGACGTGCCGCGCATTCTCAAGGTGTGTTAAAGGGAGGCAAAGCCATTCGGGGGGAGGGGAGTCAGTGCAGCATGTTGCACTGCAAGGAGAACATTGGATACTTTTATAGCAATAAGCCTTTTGTGAGTTAAATTCAAATAAAATCTGGTACCCTGAGTTACCTCCACATAAGCTAGAAAATATGAATTCCCAGACTAAAGACGTTGTTGCTATACCTCGTGATTCGGGGCAAGCTTTTGCATAGCGACCACCATCTCTGGAATGGACTGGTTCCTTTGTGCTGTTCTTATCCATTGACAACAGTGTATTGGTGCAAGGTATCTCTTATGTAAAGCAAAAGCATGCCCCGAATCACGAGGTATGGCAAGAGTGCCTTTAGTATGGAGAATTCACATGGTTATGTTCACCTGAATTTAAAGAACTCAGTGTACCAGATTTTATTCAAACTTAACTCGCCAAAGGCTTATTGGTATGGCACAAACAGTTTCAGGGACTTCACTTTTGTTCATGCTGGCAGCAACTGACCAGGGAAATCCTGTACCATTATTGTGGTTTCTTTCTTGCTCTTGTGACCAGCCCATTCAAACCTTGAAAGTCATGGCAAAAGGAGGTATTTTGAGGAAGTACTGCATCACGATTTCATTAAATTTAGTTTTTTTTGTTCCGATGTGCACTCTTCCAAAACGGAACGTGACTGTGCATCATGTGATTCATGCTACCTTGCAACTCCTCTAAAACAAATGGAGGGAAACCTCAACCTAGTTCACTTGGCGAAAAAACTTATTTCACGGCAGGAAAAAGGTCTACTGACTTGTCTTGAAATTGACGATAAAAATGGCTGCATGGAGATGGGACGACAACTGATATATTAAGTGTGCGACTTTTACGAGGTGCAAATTGTGGAACGATTTTATTTCGACTATGCGAGAAATCTTTCTTTAAAAAACTCATCAGTATTTATCGTCTGATTTTACTAGGGGAAGGTGGCGGGCAGTAATTCTTGTCCTACAACACCGGGGTATCTGTTTAGTGCAATTTTGGACAGACTGATTAGCCAACTTCTCTGTCCGCAAATAGTTCAGCTCTGGGACGGATGACGATTCAATAAAAAAATCGCTGCAACCCGCAGGAAGAAATTTACAACCGGGCAGCTGGCGAGAATTAGTCAGAGGCTGAAAATAAAAAAACAAATAACTCAGTAATCAAAAGAAAAAAAAAAAAATTGTCAGACCGGCATCCCCTATATATTGTGGGGGGGGTGTGGTACTGGGGGATTTTAAATCATCCAGGTTGAGGTGCGAGTTTTTGTTCTGCCCTAGGGAGTAATAAAAAGGCCAGCTAGGCCGCTCATCATCGGTCCCGTTTATGGGCAGGGCCACCAAGTTCAGTGTCTTGGAGTTTTGTTTTCAGCTGGCGACTCTTGAGAAATCTGATGTGGCACATTTGTGATGTTACCCAGGCCCCTACTTCCCCCCCCCTTTTTTTTCTTCTCAAGTTGGCAAGAGTTGTGTGCCAGTGGGAGTGAAATTTTTTAGTAACTGGGTCCACAATTGAATTACAACAAAATGACACGGGCGGCGACCAATTGAAAATGGAGAGGTGAGAGAGAGAGAATGTGTTGACGCCACATCATCTTTTTTTTTTTTTTTAAATTTTATCATGGGGGTGTTGTTTAATTGAATTTATTTACCTGACGAGGTCATAAAACCTGGACAATTTTGATAAACTGTGACACCATCAGGTGGCACAGCAATAAATAATCGAGACGACTTTTGGGTGTGATGAAAAGGTAGTGTCGTGTAAATTTACAACATGGTAGATAATTGTAAAGACTAGGTAATGAGCAATAAGTTTTGTCGACGATCCTGACATTGTTTCACGTACCTTTGATGCATTGCCAAATGTAGAGGTCTCGTAGTTGTCAGAGCGCACCAAAAGTTCCCGAGGATTTGTGTACAGATTTTATTCCAAATTTGACAGCTTTATTATCAAGAAGTTTCACTTCAGGTAAGAGTTCCATATACGGACATCGCTTATTTTCCCGTGCAGTGGATTATAGTGATAACATGACCTACAAAGCCAAGTTTAGTCAGGGAAATGTCCGAAGCATTCACTTCGAAAAAACGTGGCATTTTTCAGACTGGATTCCCAACAGGGCTTGTGTACAGGGTGTCAAGTGATGTCCGTGTAGGGGAATTCTTTCCTCATTGCCTTGTCAGGGTTCTTGTTGTTCAATTTATGAAACTCTTTAATAATGAAGAAAGAAACCTGGCTTCTTTTTTGAAGCCATTGACCCCATCTCGATTTTGGAGAGTCCGCTGTCTGGGTTGCCCAGGAGTGTTGTGGAGTTGGCAGGTGGGGCAGACATTCAGTGAGTGGTGTGTGGACCACTGTGGTGTCAACTTTGAAACTACCCAGAGATGGGTGGTGACCTTCATTTTTCCCCTCATTTTTGGGGCGAGAGGCGCAGGTACAGGTAGTTTGGGGTTTTATGGCATTGCGGGGTGCATTGTGACAACCAGCAGACACTGTTGAAATGGACAAAATGGATTTCAAGACCCACAGGAGGAAATGACTATTGAAGGAACGAGGTTGTCGACTGATGAACTCTTCTTAATCCAGTTTTTATTCACATAAGAAATGCACGCACAGTTCTAAAGTGCAGATTTAATGACAGATTTGTATTGGTTATGCAGTACCCTTTTTGTTGTGTAGCTAGCCTGATGAATGCCATGTTATGTTAATTGATGCTGTTTTTTAAACTCGCTTCATCTGTCAAAGGATTTCCCTAGGTCTTTGATAATAATAAGGCTTTCACTTTTTATGCCTGGGGATCATCAGAATTTCAGAGCAACCCCAAAACAGGGATTGATGAGAAATTCATGAGTGGAATTTCATCTAGATGGAAATTACCTATGTGCTTGGCTGGGAACTGCCTAAATACGATGATTGAAGTAAATTTCAGCTCTTTGATGATACACTCAGTTGGCTTTTTTCTTTTCTCTTAGAGTACTTGGGCTTTGAGGGGACATTTGCATATCGGAAAAACAAAATCGTGTTTCACTAATAGAGGCCACAGATATTTGCTTGACCGTCTGTTAAAACAGCCTTCCCTTCCCCCCCCCCGACACGCAGAGTGGCACTAAGTAAAAAAGCAAGAAGGGGGAAAAAGCCCATAGATGGCAAATCTACTGCTGCTATTTTTAGGACAGTCCTCAGCTTTACTCGCACCCTCCTCTGTATTTGGCTGAAGTCCTCAGAATGACTGGGATAGCAAGACGTTCAGTCCCCTAAAAAGGCATGGGGGGGAAGGGGGGGACACGGGTGGGGAAGAAAGGGACTGCCGGTATCAATAATGGATCCATATCTGTCGGTCAGCTGCCAGTCAAAGTTTGTTTCTCCTCTCGTTGGAACGTTCCATTCAGAAAAAGGAGAGAGAGAGAGAGAGGAGAACATTGGTGCTGCTGTTAGAAGGGTTGAGGTGACCCTAGCCATCAACTACACGATGTGCCATCGGATAATAACTGGCTTGGAAGCGATCGATATTTAAAGGTCACAAATGCTAGCAGGAATGTGGTCCTGTGGCTTTTTGTTTTTTAACTTTGCCGCTTGTGTAAATACGTACTGTGCAATTGTGCGGCAGTAGTGCAAGGCAGAAGTAGCTACACACACTGTCGTTCCAGGAAGCTTCAGGAAAAGATTCATAATTGGGAAATAAAAAGTTTGCGTAGTACTTAAGTGCATGTGTCTTTTACCAACAGATTTTGCCTGATATGTCAGTTGAGGTTTTATAAGCTGACAGGTGAATCAATATTCTTTTTAATTAGATCAGGATTTAGGGGCTCTTCAAAGTTGTGGATTAGTACTATTGAGGATACAAAGGACATTTCGTATGCTCACATTTTGACACCTGAGTGGATTTCTCGCGGCATGTAACTTGTTGGAGGTCGTTACATCCCCGTTCGAACAACGACGACTTCAATTTTCTGTCAGCCTTGACATTGATGCCTTGGCTGGAGTTTTCAAAGTGTGACTGGAAGTTCCCTCTGAAGTGCTGCCCCTGGAAAGTGCAGTTAAAACAATGATTGAATTGCATCGGGATGGTCACCTTTGAGATTGCAGCAAGACTGCTCGTTCAGAAATTACAAATACTGATGAAATCTCCAGTTACAAGAGAAAACCGAGCATGTGACATTTCGTTTTTTTTTACATTGCAAGAAATTCTAATGGAAAGAGAAAACAGATTTCTTCGCTGCTGCATAATATGAGAAACTCTAATCGCACGAAAGGATTGAAGATGGGAGATTCCTTCTTTACTTCCTGAAATGCAATTGCTTTCCCTGCAAAACAATTGACATTTCAACAGTGCTGCTTCCACGCCCCCCCTCCCCCTTTAAAGATTACCCCATTACCCCAGGCTAGACACAGCATTTCAAGGAAACGGCGCCCCCCCCAGAAAGCCAGGATCAGGAGACCCAGAGAAACTATTATCATGTACCTTCCTCCTTGCCCAACCTTCTCCCCCCCCCACCCAGTAGTCTCAAATTGCTGTGTCCCAACACCCGGCTCTCTGTAATTCTACCTGAGCAGTCCTGGCCACATCAGAGCTGAAGGTAAACAAGACCCAAATTGGGTGTTCACTCCGGTTCAGTGATGATGGTGCTGATGGTGCGTGGGAACCTTTTGAAGTTTGTACAACTTCAAGAAAAGTGGCCGTTTGCAAAATGGAGTGTTCCAGGATGGGCTGCCTGTAACTTTTTAAGGAGAATCTTAATATTAAGTTCTGTTCTTTTTGTTCCAGAAAATAGATAAACTGTCGTCATTTTTATCCTTTTATCCAGTTGTTTTTTGACAATCCACTATGAAGGGTTTGTATTCACTACTGTTCCTGTTATTATTACGCCAAACCTTGATCCTTTGTCCTTTAAGAAGAAGCCAAGTTGTCACATAAGAGTAGTTCTCCCCTATCCTTCAAACCTCTCGTGTGGCACTGATCTCCCTGTTTCAAGTCTGGATCCTGGTTCACATGTAATGGTCAATCCCTATAGTTTGTTTCGGCAAGGCACCTGCCCGATTTCTCCAAATGTCTGAAGTCCACTGTGCAGGAACACAAGCCATTTCTCCTCCCTCGGCCACCAGGACACATTCCTTTTTGCAAAATATTTTGCAAGGGGCTTGTGTTCCCGATGTTGTAGGGTTGCAACTCTGTGGGTTCCACAGTGTGCTGGTGTCCATGGGCAAGACACGTCACCACAATAGCCTCTCTCCAGTCTCCTCCCAGGGATGTAAATGGGTATGATTACCTGTTACGGTGAGAACAGATTGTGCTCTCTTGAGGTTTTGAAAACTGATCTCACTGCCTAGTGAACGTGCGTAATGATTGCGATCCAACCTTACAAAATGAGTAACAAGTCACCACTGCAGCTTTTAGAGTGAAAGGCCTATCGAGAATCTTGCATCGCATAAATCAATTAGAAGCCTCAACATTTTGCACCCACGTATTGTCGATCTTCTTTTGGATACCAAAATTTGTGACACATCAAAACAGATGAACCAGTTTGCTCTTTTTTTGTGCTTATCTAAACAAAATTTGAGAAAAAGGCCTTAAGACTCATTTTGTGGGAGCCGGTCATAAATGTAAAGTGCACTGCGCCCTCTGCAGGGTAAAATCACTATTATAGCATATTTGATGATAATTATCTGTAATCTTGTTATAAATCTTGATGTCTGTTATCCCGTCAATCTCTAAATTCAGGTCCCCCCTCTGCACCCAGAGATGCCCAAGCCACAGTGGATAACAAGTCCTCGGTGGTCACCTTGACCTGGCAGCCGCCGGCCGACAACGGTGGTCGGACGGACCTTCACTACTGGGTGGAGTGCCCGCTCTGCCCGCCTGACACGGAGTACTCGCCCCGCCAGCGCGACCTGCCGGGGCTGGAGGTCAACGTCAGCCGGCTGGCCTCGCATACCACCTACGAGTTTGTCGTCTATGCCGGGAATGGCGTGTCGCAGCAGAGCATCAACGGCGGCGCCAAGCCACAGGGAGTGGTGGTCAACGCAACGACATTCTCCTCAGGTACCCATGCTAGAACTGTTCTATCCCGTTTGCGAGGTACTCTGGCAGAAACATTGAGACGAAACTAGGCAGGGGTTAAAATATGGGTTCTTTGGTGTCGGGAAAGTGATTTCTATATTGTTAGTGGCGTATCCGGTATGCTTGACTTGTTATGAGTTCTATATTGATGGTGAAAGGCACCGATTACGTTTCCCTCCAAAAAACCTTTCATTCCAGGACTTTATATTAGTTCACTAAAATATGTGAAGTAGACAAATCAGAAGTAACATATATTGATTTTCTGGTTAACCTGAAATTTGTCGGGAAAAATATCACCCCTGTTTGTGTTTTACATTTTCCCCACAACAGCCCCATTCCAGTTCCGTCTCAGTTTGCCAGAATGGCTCTCATTTCTGCCTTGGACCCAGTGCTTGTGAATCAATAGGGGACTGTTTTAAAGTTGCTTTCAATTCCATTTGTCGTAAGAAAATGTGGCAGAGAGGTTCGAACCCAAGACCTCTGAAGTACTGGCTCAGTAGGTTGCTCTGCCCGCTAGTCAGGCAACCATTTGTAATGACCTTTCCTTGCACAGGTCGCCAACTTGAAGTCCCTTCACATTGCACCTCTGAGTTTGTCTGTGGTCATTGAGAATCCCCCCCAACTGATTCGCAGAGCTTGAAAGCAAATTTATCCCGAAGTTACATACATATTTGAAATATGAATTCCTAACTTGACATGTTAGCAAACATGTTGCATCAGCTTGATTATTCCATCCCTCTCAAATTTGGGGGGGGGGAACCTGTCCTTAGTGGACATTGTCAAGCCAACGCTAGGGACAAAATGTATTGGATGGATGGATCCAATCCTCCGGATACCTGCAGTTCTTCATTAAAGGGAAAAAAAAAAAAAGCTCGGGTGCGGAACAAGGAATTTATACCATCTCATGATTTGAGATCTTGACAGGAACCCCAAGCCACAGACCTTGAATCCTCGCACCTCTTTGGCACTTTTTTTTAGAATTCCCCTGGTCTGGTTTTTCACCCCCCTTAGACAGGCTGCGGTGAACCCTGTGGCAGGGTTCAGGCCGGTTCCCTCAGGTGTTTTGCGAAACTGCGCGCCAAAGATCAGAGTCGCATTCTGACGCGCCGAAGCCACAGCTACGCTGTAAATCTCTGGCCAGTCAGAGAGTCAAGAGGGGGCCTTTGGGTTTAGCTCAGAAATGTTTCATGGGTGACGTGTCCGGATGAAAGTAACACAGGTCAGCGATTCAGAATTCTGGTTATTTGGGCAGGGGACAAGATGGGCACAGTTGGGCATTGTGGTTTTGGATAAGATCGTTCAGAGGTGGAAGCTTGAGAAACTTGGCAGAAAGTTGTCCTACATTCAGTTAATATTTACATTCCGCCATTGAATTCGAATTTAACTTCTCATTTAAGCACCATACGGCCTTTAGCGTGAATCGACTGTTCGTTAGCAACTTGAGGCCTTTCACTTTCAGCTGTTTCCTTTGTCAAGTTTAGTTGTCAAGCCTTTGATGTCGTGAGGAAAACCCAAGACATCCCGGTGGAAAGGCTTCATTGTCAGGATGTCAGTTGAGATTAGGGTTTGCCTCCAGGAAATAGAAACTCCTAGAAACACAATTTGAAGGGCAACATTCCAGATGCCCCCATGAAAGTTTGAAAGGAAAAGAAAAATCCACACTTTCAAATTGAGCTAATGTTCCCTTGCAAGGCTTTCTCACAAAACCACTCAAGCTGATTCTGTCAGTAAACGGTTATGAACTAAGAATCTCATGTTGGAAAAATATTCCTCTCCCATATTTACATAAATCATATTGCCCTCTAAAACATGTAAAGATTGTGCCGACCCGCACCACAAATCAAGCATGCCTTGTAGAAAACAAATTTGGTCTGAAGCTACAGGCTCGTAAATCCTTGAAAAATCCAGTGTCTAGCCCTTTGGCTTGGCTAATAAACTGGATGCATCTGATGGGCCCCCCATAACAGGCAAGTATATGAACAGTAAGAACACCTGGTCCCCTCTCTCTGCTGTCTACCCCTGGTGACCTGGTTTGAAAGCCTATACTCCTTGGGTATTTACCTTAATTGAATGATGATAGGTCGGCCTGATCTTACAAAAAGACCTTGCTCTTACCTTGTGGTCCTCTGAGAAAATGGTGAAAGCAGAAGTCCACAGATTCCAGGCCCACCAGTGTGGGAGAAGGTTGTGAACGAACTGGAAGAGCTGGTCTGACCAGACCCTAGAGAGTTTTATGGTTTGGGTCTCACTTGGCAGGTTGGACAAATTGGATTTGATTGGTGATAAGTTGCAGGGATGAGAGCTGCCATCCCCAGTTTGCTTGGCCATGACTGGCTGCTGCAGTCTCTGAGATATTCCAGCTTTGGTTATCCCTGAAACTCAGTGTCGTGGGGGGGGAGGGGCACAGAGCACATCCCCCCTTGACGGAACTGGGTGGTCCCCCCCCCCTTTGAAAATTTAATCAACCTGTGTACAATCTTCTGCCGCAGTCCGTTTGCTTTCGGTGCTCTCTTAAAACAATGTGTGCAACCCTCAGAAGTGACACCCTAGTTTTGCTGCCGGTGAGGTCGTGTGTACTTGAACTCATTTGTCACTCCCAGAACCATTTAGATGTGATCTTCACACCCATTTTTCTTTAAAGATCTACCAATGACAAACCTGTCTTGTAAAGGCCATAATCTTTTGAGGGGGAGATATGATGCTGTCTTTTTTTTTTCAACAAAATGGAAATTAAGCTTCCCCCCAAAATACTGAAAATTGTTTAGCTCTTCCCTCCCAACAAGGGAGGTTTGCTCAAACAGTGGTTAAAAACATATGCTTACTTGTACATGTATATCTTCACCTCCTCAAAAGTCCCAACCCAAGTAACAGTGCCAAAGCCTTATGGTACACTGGATTACAAATCACCTACTCTCAGCTCTCGGCCAACGAAAACTCAAAGCCTTTCAGTTTAAGAGACGGCAAAGAAAAAGAACAGGAAAACCAAATCTGCGTGTGGTTTTTCCGATTTGCCACAGGAATCTTTCCATTCCCACAGTAAATTGAAAGCCGAATCTCCCGGGAGTTGCTGTTGTATACATTTCTGCTTTCTGTAAAAACTCTGGCGTCATTGTTGTGAGGCAGAATCCACACAATTCTGGGTCCAGACATCCCGTGCGCCCCGCAAAAAATTTACGGCCCTTTCTGCAAAGGGAGTTTCCTCTCTTTTAGAAAGGAGAGTTGGGTCAGGGTTCAACGGATATTTGTTTTGAAACAAAACAAAGACTGAGAGTTTTGACCTTTTAGTGTTGTCTGAAAGATATTTCTCCTTGTAGATGGGTTGGTTTTTGTTTTTGACAAAACAAGGATAAATCTGTTCTCTCCTTGAAAAAGAGAGAGAGACAGTGGGATGGGTAGGAAATCAAGTGGCAATATTTTGGTTAAAAGGACTTTACCTGCTGTGTTTGTTTGGGCTGAGAAATTTCCTTGGAGCTGGTTACTGTGTCAAAACACCTGGCCAGGAGTTGGCTGTGTTTTTATGTCAGTGCGGAAATACGGAGATAATTTTGCCAGATAACTTGGCTCAGTTTTGGAGAAAGAGAAAAGGTGTTGTGTGTGTCCCAGTTCTTCACTAATTTCAATGGCAAAGTCAGCCACAAGCCAAACTGGAGCATTTATAATTGTTAACAGAGTGCTTTGTGGCCCTGTTCACTTGACCAGCCTGTGACTTAATTAGAAAAAGGATGGGCCCTGGTGTAGTCACTATTGGACTCGTGAGACCCCGACCACAGTGCTGCTTTGTGGAGCAGATGTGCCACTGAATGGTCTTATTGGCAATTGCGTAGTAGGGGCAATTCGCAGTACAGAGCGCCACCAAGAGCTTGCCGCGGAGAGGCCATTTTCTACTGCGCACTGTGAGAAGTGGCCGACAAATTCTATTTGCTAGCTGCCTTCCGGTAACTCTAAATTATTTCCCAAGTTAGTTTGTCAAAGTGACATTCTGCAAGTGTATTTTGAGTATCGGGTTTAGGTTTTAAACATTGCTTTCTCTTTTCTACCGCGTGGGATACCCCAACCTATCCACACATTTCCTCAAGTTGTCTGGTCTCCGTATGCTCCAATGGAAATTGTGGTAGGTCGGCCTTGTTTGTGTCGACCGGAAACTTGAAAGAGAGCCTCTCGAGGGCAACCACTTGGTGGCGCTCCATACTGAGAATTGCATGTATTCCAGTCCAGTGTTGTTCAATGATATCACATCATGTCGAGGTGATTGTGGGTTTGTTCACCAGTGTGGACTTGTAGAGCCAGGAATAATTATAAACATACCTGTCTGGGGTAATCAATTGTCAACCAACCCGGTATGGCTGGGGGCTCTGTTTTTGGTAGTTGGGAGATGCTACAATTGGTGAAAACAAATATGTGAATGACATGCAGTTGTGTCATATGTTCAGATTATTAGCCGCTCAAAACAACTTTTTCTTGGACTTCTGCAAGCCCCAGACATTGAAACTTCTTGTAATTCCAAAAGGGGTGAGAAAGTTTCAGCAGGTAAGTGGCAACTTGATGTGCCGAGGTCAGACTTCCTCGTCCAAGCTGTTAAGCTCGTCAAATTCCGGGCATGAAATCCACTGGCAAGCTCAAGTGTCACCTGGATACGGCAGACCGGGCCCCGGTCACTCCACTGGCGCCGTTGCTAGCATCTTGGATGAGCCGGCCCGATCGTGCAAAACAAACATTTCCCCCCCTGACTGGTCGACGAAAATTCCCTGTCTGCTATTCTTTTGCGTGCGTCACACCTGACTTGATCTCACAAATTCACTCCTGCGCCCGGTTTCGAGCAGTGCGGGGGCATTCAGACACCATCGTTTATTTTTAATATGCCGTCCATTAATTGCCGGCACACGATGTACACAGTCTTGCTTGAGATCCCTCTCTGACAGTTTCACCTTGAAATTGTCCACTCGTGGCTTCATTTCTTTGCGAGGCTTTCATGTTTTCAAGAGTGAAGGAGTCCAAAATTTCTGACAATTTATTATTTTTGTTCTCTCGCAGCGCGCATTGAGAGTCCACGTGATAGTTTTCTCCTCTTTTTAAGTGAGACTGCTGCTCATTTTCCCCAACTGAAATTATCTCTCACCTGATCGACTGGGTGCAGATTTCAAAGTGGGCAAATGCTGCGCTGTGAACTCTGTTTATGCGCTATGAAAGTTTCCCTTTTGCTAAGAAATTTTGGAGTATTTACAGATACCTGTAAATTTCAACATTGCTCTCTACCGTGTTTGCCAGCATGTAAACCATTTCAGATGTAGTCAAACTGACGCAGCTCACAAAATTGGATGGGTAGGCCTTGAATTGTCGTGATTGTAGAGCCGTTTGCTGCTTGTTGGAACAATTTAAATTTGACCCTCAGGGACATGTCATGTAAGTCCGCTCGACGGTTTCACCTCAAACAGAAACCCCCCAAAGCTGCAAAAATAAATTTTCTCCAAAAATAATCAAATTCCCCATTCTTTGCCTAAAAAAAAAAAACGGGAAAAAAACCTTCATGCAACAAAGGGCGCAATGCATCCGCTAAATGTTATCACAGCCTTGGAGTCAGAAAATGCACCAATTTTTTTTTTCTGTGTTAAAAACCTGCCCCCCCCCCTTTGAACAAGGAAGCACGTGCAACACATTGCTGGCACAGCAACACAATTTTGACCCTCGGTAGGTTGAGGAGAAAAGCATAATCTTGTTACCCTGCCAAACGCTGAAGGCCTCGGCCCGACTAAAATTGAAGTCTAATTCTGTTTCTTCGTCCGTGCTGGACTCCTTCCTAATATCAAATAAATTGCTGCGTAGAGGCAAAGGTCTCCCCCCCTTTTTTCGTATCCCGTCTCGTGTTGAGGCGAAGGGAACGGTTGTTTGCACTGGAGCGCCGTTCTGGGTATATCTGATTATACCCACCGCAGGTTGGCAAAATGTTAATGTGCCACTTGTTTCAGTCGAAACGGGCCCACCCGTTCCTTGCCTTGAATCAATAAGTGCGTTCGGATGATGGGGAGCTTTTCAAGGTAGATTCAACAGGGGTGTGTTCCTTATAAAGTGAGACAGAAAAGATTTTCCACAACTGTCTCAGGGATGTTCGTGCACCCATAGGTACCCATAGCCAGCATTTTAGGATTTTCGTCCACGTTAAGTTCATTTATGCAGTAAAAACTGCGACAGCACCAGTCTGTGCAGCCCCTTGCATTCGCCCAATCTGCACCCCCTCCCCTTTGGCTATGCTACTGAACTTTATTCCGGTCCATTTGTATTCAGTCTCTAATATGTTCGCAATTTCAGAACTTGGCTACATGCATAACGTACCCCTCCGCGTAGCACATTTTAGCTGAGTTCAGGCTTTGTGGGTGGTCGAAAAGAAAGGGAACCATTTTGTAATGAATGTTTTTGATTTCAAATGAAATCTTTCCGTCTTTTTTTTTCAAGAATTTGCCCTTTTAGCAAAATGACTCTCCCCAAAGGGTCAAGTAGGACTCTTGGAATTTCCAGAGAGCCCACAAATCAGAAAACAATCCAAAATTCAATTGCAAAGGTCCTTGCTGTATTTATCGCCGGCCCTAAAAGAAAAAGAAAAACAAGAAGGCCGTTACCGACAATTTCATGTCACGGCTTGTTGGATTTCATGGCTGGTAATAATTCGGGGCTGTTATTTATTTGTCCCTGCCAAGTCAGCTCCACCCGACTCGCCTCAAAGGTTGGTTCCCTGCTCATTAAACCGGTCCCAATGGCCCACCATAACATTCTCCATGGGCGAATGTAAACAAGTTGGGCCTTGGCCAAAAAAAGAAGAAAGAAATTACATGGAAGAAAACCTGGCCCTTGTAGACCGCATATTATCACAAGTCTCATAATACACGGTGCACTGCTAACATATTTCAGTAGGTCTGGGGTTTTTTTTTTTTTGCCCCTGTGAAATTTAGGGGGTTAATAACAAACTCTGTCATTTTCCAATTTTAGATGGTTGCATCAGAGTAATCGGTATCATTCATCATTCCGCTGACGTTCCCCTGAAGTTGAAAAACCTTGTTAAGATGGTTAACCAAACTTATAGAAGGGGCATGCAGTTGTCGTGTGCCTTTGCTTGAGAATAGATTTCAAGAGAGAAGAAAAATCAGTCACTTGCAAGTTGCCAGAGTAAAAGGGTTTGTCCAAACGTCTTGGACGATTCTTAAGGAGTTTATGTTTCAGAAAACAAGAGCAAAGCAAGAGTAAAACACAAGAGGAGATTTGGCCACATGGCGTGTCCTCCGCAGCCTCGATTTCCCCAAACATTTTTGCCATTAAAGCTAAAGTGATTATAGCCAGGAAGCATAAAAAACTTTTCCCAATCACCAGCTGGCTGGCCACACACAGAAAGGGCTCCTGTTTTTACTAAAGAGAAAGTCCCACTCTTTAGAACACCCCGAGGCTTTTTGTAGCCACCCACAGATTGGTTTAGGCTGACATGATATTTTTGATTGGCTCATAAAATGCTGGCAACAACCGCCAACATTCATTTATAAAAAAGTTAACTGGGGCTGCTGCTCAGTCTCGACAAAACCCATCCCTATTAATGTCCAACTGTTGTGAAATTAAATGTCTCAAATGTGAAACAGCGTTCTCTTTGATATGTTGCTGCTGAAGGCAGACATTAGTATGCCTATTCAGTTGAAAAGATAAAGAGTTTTAAGAGATTTGTGTTGTTTGAAAATAGTGCTAGTCATCCAGAAAGTGTGGGTTTTTTTAATAAAAAAATTTACAAAATTTAGCGATTGTATTCGTAAATGTAATCATTAGTAAATAATGATAAAATAATGTTTACATTTACTCATAACTAATGTTTACATATTCATGAATAATGCGTGATGTGGGTTAGGTTTTCCGACCTTACCGGATGCTGCAGGTTTTACCCAGAATACTCTGGGGTTACCCTCCCACCTCTGAACTTGTGCTGCTTCTCACTGTCCCCTCTCTGCAGGTTTCTTCAGGCTTGAGAGCTACAGTGCCTGGGCCACTCTTGAGAAATCCTCAGCTTTTTTTTTTTTTTTAAACCAGAAAGGCTTAACAAATAGCGAAAAACCTCCACTCACAAGCCCCAGACCTAACTTCAGTCTTCCCTCCTTCCCTCCCTCTCTCCAGTTCCCTCGGCAGTCCGCGCAGTCACCGTGGACAAGGAGGCCTCCAGCGAGACCTCTGTGGCGCTGACCTGGCGGCCCCCTATGTTCCCCAACGGCCAGATCCTGACCTACCAGGTGCGGTACCGGACCACGGTGGAGACGGTGGACCAGAGCAAGTACCACTACCAGAAGGCGGTGGCTGGCGAGGTGCAGAGCACCGTCATCATGGGCCTGGAGGCCGGCAAGGACTACGTCTTTGCTGTGAGTCGACATGTTTTTTTTTCCCTGTGCCTCTCTCTCCCTTTCTCGCGAAAACATTGAGCTGTGATCGACTGCTAGAATGCTGTCTGCCCATTCTCCACTTGGAGTAGCTTTGAAGCCATCCTGAGCACAGGCATTTTTAAATGATGCGCATACTTGATGACCTAAGGTGAAATAAATTCCAAATGACGGGACAAGCATGTGCAAGCACAACACACGTGCGACAATGTCAAAACGGCATGTCTTCTATCAATAGATCTCTTTCCTGATATGCCGTCTTTTCAAAAAAACTTACAAACGTACGTTCAACACCATCCAGTGCGTGTGTGCAGCCTGTAAATGTATCAGATATCTTCAAAATACCGTGGAGCCAGTCCACGTCACAAAAAATTGAAATCCAAATGCTGATGCAGGTGGCAGTCTGCAGGTTGTGACGTTATTTGAGGAATACTTATTATACCATAAATATGATGCTAATAATTGTGACCCACTGTGTGAAAGTGAGTCTTAAGTCGCCATAGCCACTTTAGAGCAAAAAGTCCTTTAGAATAATTGTGCACAGTGTAAATCAATGGCAACCCACAGCATCTGTCACCATGGAGTATCCACTTTCGTCAGGATGCCAAACTGAGTGATACATCAAAACAAACAACTCAGTTTGCTCTTTCCGGTACAAATGAAAACTCAACAACTAACTCTGGTGACTTATGACTCATTTTCACAGAGCGGGTCACACTATTTTTGAGCTGTTTGTTTTGAACACAGCAAGAGAAAAATAGACAATAGACGGGAAACGAAGTTGGTGTCGGAGGAAGCAAATAAACTGTGGACTTTGTGTGTACATACTTTTCCTTATCGTTGAGGAAAATTAACCCAGAACTAAGGCAATTTCTGTTTTCTGTGTTCCCCTCCCATTAGATCGCTGCTACCACTAAAGATGGCGTAGGAGAGTACAGCACACCGATTCAAACAACCACAGGCGGTAGGTGACTGTCGTGTCATCTGCTTGTTAAACTTAAAGGGCGCGTGCATTCAGATTCTGCCAAGTAGTGAAAGGGCCAGTGCTTGTAAGTGCAGTTGATGCGCGCACGTTTGCGTACAGATGCGGTCGAACCTTGGCACGCGCTCCGATGTGCAGTCTTTAAGGCTTAGCCGATTTCTTGGCGACGTGTTTTCATTCCGAAGCTGATCAGCAAGTGCATTCTTGAAATCTGTATTATGCTGTAAATGTAGTATTGAAAGAGGTTAGATACTTTCGATCCGTCAGCCATGAAGAAGCGATGGTTTCTAGGAAGACGCAAAATTTTAGACCTTGTGTACAAACACTTCCACGCCAGTCGCGCACTTTTGAGTGTAAGAGACTGATTGCTCCCCTTTAAGTCACGTGACCTAGGGTGGGTATGTATCTAGGCCTATATGTAACATCAATAAACGCGGCCTCCTCCCATAGCAAAGTGTGTCATTAGCATCATTTACCAAAAATGAACGCGGCAGTCGGTTCGGTACGGTACGCACACAACTGATGTGATGAGTGCTATACCAAAAGTGAAGTGCACTTTGCTTTGGAAGGATGCCATGTTTGTTGATTTGATATCCACTGTAGGTCACGTGACTTTAGCGGGGGTAGTCAGTTCTATTGCATGATCCGCCTGTGAGTGTGGACCCGCACAGTAATGCCCTGTAATTCTAGTCTCCATATCTGGTATATTTATAGCACAGGGCATGTTCGAATGACGACTTCACAGAATAACTTAGTTTATTTAACGTTGCCCGAATGATGGACGGTTTGGACTATCTAGTCAACCATTCGGAACCGGGCCCTGGGGCATGGTTGCAGTGCCGGGTGTTAATGGCCAATTTCGGTCATCAGTACGGAGGGAACCGTTCTCATGAAATAAGATTGAATGCAATGTCACTGGTTGTGAATGCTGTGAGTGTGGCTGCCAAGGGCAAAATGTGATCGACGATAGGTTTTTACACAATGGTTTGACTAGGGCGATCTGAGCAGGACTGCATTGTGCGTGCACATTGTTAACAAAAAAACCCCGGCACTTGCACTTGGTTTGCAGCTGTTCTCGAACGCATGTACAGAGTTGAGTCGGCTTATTATTGTTTTTTTTGGCTTTGGCACGTACAGGTGGGCCAAAGAGTCAGATGTACAACACGGCCATCATTGCCGGAGCTGTGGCAGCCTTCTTTATCATCATGGTTCTAGTGGCCATCGTCATATTCCTGCTGATTTGCTGGAGAAGGTACAAGTAACCAATTGCCGGCTTGGCTCATAATGTAACTGTCCTTCTGTGTTGTGGATGCAAGAATGGTTGTTACATGTAACCAGTTGTTAAATGGTATTGTACATTTCCAGATATGGAGTTAAAGACTCTTTATTCTGTAAGTGTGTTGGGAAATTTTGGTTGGGTCTTTTGCGATCCAAGGTCAGTTGGTCGAGTGATCTTTTGTCTGTGTGGTTTAGTCAGAAACCGAGATTGAGTTAAAGGTTTCAAAAGTGCAAGGCGGGTGAACGATCAAGGTGGTGGACTCATCCGACTGTGTGATTGCTTCATTAGTGTGCGCAAGGCATGACGACCGTTCAACTTGGTTGAACTTGCAAGAAGACTTTTTTTGTAAGAGGTTGGACTCGCCGCTGAAAGTTGGATCAGCGGATTGCAAACCTGGGTCCTGCTAAACAGATGCCCTCGTGCTAACTTATGGATATTGGAAATCTGAAATAGTGCCTTTTTAAAAAAAGTTTGAATCTCAAATGTTGTACAGTGCAGACCAGGACCCCTCCTAATAACCAGTCTTTTTAAAAATTTAGTTGTGGGGTTTGGACAACAGAGGAAATTTTGTTCCTTCCAAATTTGTTTGTTTTGTGTTTTGTGTTGTCTAGAATGGTGTGATAACTTCTTGTAGTGATTTGTTTTTTAACTGATATCGAGAGGAGAACTGATCTTTTTGATGGTGTTGTGTTCATGGTCATTGTTGTGGCAGTGATGCAGAGTATCTGAAAAATGACAATTTGTCACCAATTCGTTGTACCAGATTGTCAGTTATTTTTCGTGGACATTCAGATAATTGACATAATTATGGTCCTCTAAAGCGTTACTTCTCTTACATTTTTTGAAATGTCGTAAAAGGTGGTCATATGCTTTGTGTCAACAAAGTCTTTTGTCAAAATCAGGGTGGAAAACTGAGGCAGTTGACAGTCTGTGGGTACACGTGAAGTTTGCACAGCCAAACCCTTGTCAGCATTTTCCTCTAGCATCGTGAGTTTCATTGGAGCGGATGAATTACTCCCGCTTGAGACATCTTTCCCAAAAGTGTTGAATTTGAGCGAGAAGGCTTGCGAAAAATATGGCCACCTTTTTTGACCCATCGTGTTTCTAATGAAATAACCCCACCCACAGCCACACCCCTTTTTCCCTTTAGACCAGGGCATGCTCCTCTTTATCGTGTGTCATGTACTGTGCCCACACAGACAAAGTGGGCATCGGTGACTGTTGAGGGCGCTGTTCACCCTTGAAAGAAATGGGTGGATGCCATCGAGGAATGAGAGACTTTCATTTCTGTGGTATTTTTTCCGTCCAAAAAACCAAAACAGCGCCCTCTATTGTCCATCCTGAAGAGTTCTGATCCTCTTTCCCCACCTCCCCACCACATGACTGACACATTTTCCTCTTTACTAACAATAGATGACCCCCTATCCCCGCCCTCATGACCTTCTCCCCATGCATCCATAAAGAGCCGTGACNCCAAAGAAGCTCTCCCAATAAAAGCTCGTCATCCTGAGTTGAGATATGATTTATTCAAAGCAGTGTCGGTTTCTTTGAACCAGCTTTTTTTTTTTTTTAAGTTCATCCAAAGGCGATTTTCCCTTGTCACTGTTCAGTCAGTGTACATTTGAGAAACTATTCAAGTAATGCAAAACATTTCTCAGGGCATCCTGTGATTAGTTTTTCCCCCTTGGTCTCCGATGTGCCTCTTTTACGTTTGAACTGTGTGATTCTTTTGATCTCTTTTTTCCCCTTCTTGCATGTATATATTCCTTTTGTCGTTGCTCAGGCGTTTCATGTACAACCTTCGGCGAGATATGGCGGACATTAAGTACAGTTCCATTAGGTAATCTTGTATGTAATGATAACAAACTCTTAATGGCTTAATGGTTAAAGCTTGCCATTAAAAACGGTTTTCAGTGTGACAAACTGGGCCTCTTCCAACTACTAAAACTAGAAAACAAAAAAATTGTTCATGAGCATTCTTTCGCTTCACTGACATTTGAACAGTTTTATTCAGTTAACACCCTACCTGTTATAGAATGGTCTAGCCCATTCTACATGAAGCTTGATGAATATTGGAAGAGTCCATTCAGAATATCAGGGAAGTCAAGCTGCAGATTTTAGGGCATTTTACTCATTTCATTCAGAATTGTTTGCATCATCATTAGATATCAAGTAATTCTCTGAGGCATTCACTTTTTGAGGGACAGCAAACAATACGGGAGGGAAAATCTTGTCTGAATGGAGAGCATTTTCTCAAAAAATAACACTTTGAGAATAAGCCTTTTACAAGTTAAATTTGAATAAAATCTGGTACACTGAGTTTTCTGACTGCACATAAACATAATGATTTGAATTCAGCAGACTTAAGACACGGTTGATATACCTCGTGATTCGGGACAGGCTTTTGCATAGCTACCACCATCTCCGGAATGGACTGGTTCCTTTGTGCCCTGCTTATCCATTGAGAGCAGTGTATTGGTGCAAGACACACACGCACAAAGACACAAAGCTTGCCCCGAATCACGAAGGGTAGCATGTCAATATTGTCTTCAGTATGGAGATTTCAGAATGCTATGTTCACGTGAATTGAAAGAACTTAGTGTAATTAATCTTTTTGAAAAGTCATTCTTTCTTAAGTTGCTGCTTTCCTGAAATGCTCTGTGTTCTACTAAAGCATCAAAATCTTGATAAATTAAAGGATATTCGTTACAGAATTGAATAAGCAAATTTGGGTGAAGGTGGGGGGGGGGTTTCAAATGAATGTGCCGAAAAGAATTACTTTGATTTGGTGATCAGATCACAAACTGTTTTCAGAACTTTCATTGGTCCAGTGGCTGTCATCATCGGAATATTTTCAACCTCATTCCTTAAGCTCTGGGTGATCACATCTGTTGCTTTATAGTTTGGTTAATGATCTCCCTTTTCATATTATGACGACTTCAACCGCCGAAACTTAAAAGAAATTCTTTTTTTTTCCTTGTCTCTCTTGTCTTGCAAGTGGCACTCGCCTCTGTTGTTGTAATTGGTATTTTTTTTTTCTGGCTGAATCTGTGTTCAGCATGTCTGCTGCCCCCTCTCCTGCCTGCGTGTCAAGCCAGTATGTGACCCTGCCCTGCGACCTTTTGACCTCTTGCCGAGATCAGACAATTTTGCTCAGTGTGTTGACATTTTATCCTTGGGAACCTTTCGCTTCTTTCGTGGACAACTTCTGTTTGGTTTTTTAATAAAGACATTCTCCAAACAAGCTTCTGAGTGGATGAAACTTCCTTGTTGGCATTAATTTATCAGTGTTTGTCGACAGGACTGCTCTGTTAACAGACAGAAAAGATTATGTAATTATTCGGCCATTTATCAGCCTGTTGTCTTTTATAGCCATTCAGACAAAGTGATAGTATGAACAAATTTTCCTAAGGAGTCTATGATAAAAAGTCAACACATTGTCATCTCACATGGTTAATCCGTATTCCTCTCCCTTGTCATGCCTCATGCTCATAACTCACCTCCCCCGTAACTCAGTGCTCATTACTCACTTCTCATCTTCTCACTCACTTCTGGTTCCCCTTTTCCCGTTCTCTTTTTCCTTTAACCAACTCACCAACCGACTCTAATGATAAAAACGGGCACCGACCTGGAAAAAAATTGTGGACGTCATCGTCATGGTAACAGGCGCAAGGCTAACCAGCTTTATCTAAAGATTGCGTCCTGTCCTAACAATGGGTAAATCTGATTTCTCTCTCTGTGTTATTTGTGGTCGAGTTGCCCGATCTTTTTTTTTTTTGCGTTTTCTGATTTTTCTACCTGCCTTTCATTTTAAAATATTAACTACATAGATTTAAAATCTGTCTTGTAGGTGATCATATGTTGCAATTTGTAAACTCTGTCCCCTCTTCTTGGAAATAGTTTTGTCATCATTTGTTTTGCAATATTATGAATTTTTAAAAAAACTGACAAATAAATGCCTCGCTTTCATCGCCTAGGTGAAAAATCTTTGGTTATAATGAAAGGCGCTGCCTGATTTTTAATTTTTTGGGGGGGAATTGTTCGCCGATGAAATATTCAACTTAACATTGCTTTTGACATTGTTGTAGAAAAAGACTCCAAAAAGGAATAGATTTCCAAATGTAATCCGCACTTGCACCTCTTCACACGTTTTTGTCAGTTGTCATGGGAATTGTTGCTATGACATCATCCAGCATTCAGCTTTTCATTGGTCATTATACTGGGTTTGCTTGTTTTTCCTTACAGTTGTTAACTTCTGTTCATTTGTTTTTATCTAGGGGCATTTTTGTTGAGCTTTTCACCATTTTACTTTGCATTTGTGTACAGCAGTCATTTCATTCAAATTTATGCATAAAATTTGCATACATCATGCATATTCATTGGTAATCTCATTCAGTTCTGCCTAGCATGCTTTGATGAGCCATTTATTTGATTTTTTTGTTCCTGCGGCTGTTTTTTGGTTATGTTGTTCCCAGTTGGTACGATGGGAATTTCATCAGGAGCACACAGATTTTCTTTGAACATGTTGAAAAAGAAATCTTTTTAAAAAAAACAGAAATGCAGATCTGTTCAGTAGAAAGTGATACAGAAAACTGCATAAAACACCGCTTGCTTTAAAAGTGTGTTCTTCATGAAAATTCTGTCAGTTGCCTTACTGTTAGTTTAAATTTGAACTGCCGGTTGATTTGAATTATCTATTTTGAGCAGTTTTAAAGTAGTGTTTTAAACATATTCACATGACTACAGAAATGTTTGTTACAGTGAAATATTTATTGTTAATACCTGTGATGTCCTCCTTGCTGTCAGAGGGAACAGTCTTGACCTTAAGAAACGTGATGCATATTCCAGCTCTCCAAAGAATTTTTTTCCCTTCCCGAGGTCGTGAAGCGAGTCCCGCGTACACACACACCATTTCAGGGGATGGCAGTGCCTTGCTCAAATTAAAGATGCGGGGGAACCGCTCCGGAATTGTTCCGGTTGGTTTAAGGACGTCTTGAAAGCCTAGAGTTCCGTGTTGCTTGGCTTCAGTTAAACCCCCCCCCACACACACACAACTGCAGGCCAACCAGGTGCGGTGTATCAAAGGAAGAGCGCCCCCCCGCAACACTATCTTGACCGCTCCCTGTGTCTTTCATGACTTGAATGGCCGTTGATGTCTGGTACCGAGATAGAGCTAGAAGAAACTGAACCTAAGTACAGTGACTCCAGACTCAATCTCTAACAATCTTGAACTGGAATGATTCGCACCTATGTAATGATGGCAAATGTTCATTCGGTTGGGAAATAGCCAACTTCCAAACCTGTTAGTTTGCTGAACACACGTTTAAACTTTGTTGGCTTAAAATAACAGCTGCAATTGGTCAAGATTACTAGCGGCGAAATCCTACCTGCGGAGTATCAACCTGTTCTGTTCTGTTTTGCCAAAGATTCTGTGTCGATTTACATATTCTCGACTGCCTTTGATGCAAGCCTTCATTAACATTTCCCCTGCGGTTCCCTTTCAAATATAATTCCAACTTAATGCTTTTCTTTTTTTTTTACCAGCCTAACTCCATTGCAGTCGTGGCTAATTTTTTCAAAAGCTAACCCCCCCTCAAAATTGGGCTTTCTTGCGTCGCAAAAGCCACTTAATAAGCCAAACGTTTAATGCATTTGAGAGAGTCTTGAAATGGTGTGACAGAAATTAACGTCATTCTGTGCTAAATGCTGATAACACAAGTAACACTGGTCTCCCTCGAGCTTAGTGTGCCAAGAAGTACGCTTTGCAATTTTATGTGAGTGTGTACTTGGTGAACGGAATTCATCAAAATAACTGGCTGTGTGCTGTTATTTTTTTATTTTTTTTAAGCTAAAATATTGAACAGTGTTCAGAGAAATTGTATTGTAGAATTGAAATTGAATCGTGAAAATTCTCATTCTTCCAAACAGGAAAAAGGAGGTTCCACCTATAGCCAACGGCATGATTTATTCGAATGGCCCTAATGGAGAAGGTAATGATTGTTGTAAATCTACAGTTGTGCATCTTATGCTAATGCTCAGAGGGAGGAAAAGAAAGAAGATCACACCGATGGATTTCACATTGATCTCGCATCAGTGACTTCATGTGGAAATGCTGAGTCGAATTCTCTGTAGAATGATAATAATCCTCAAAATAACTGTGCTCTCAGGGGGGAAAAGAATTTGGTTTGCTCGATTAATTAGTTGAAAAGAGAGATTTCGGAAGGGTGGCTTTTTTGTCCTTCAAGGCTTTGGAATGATTAATGTGAACCAATAATCGAAGATGAAGGCAGCGTTTTGCATCGAGAGTTGCCCATCGGACTCGGCGGGAGAGTAAAATTTGCCAAATGCAAGCCTGATAATGGGGGGGGGGATTCCAAATTTGTTCTGCATTGAATTGGCAGGATCACTTGCCTTCGGCAGCAGAAATGAACGAAGAAAAGAGAAAAACGGTGATAGCATTGTGGGACTGTCAAGACAGTGACTCTGCCGGACAAAAGGCGCACCACCTGCGATCCGTTTCTGCTATTGTCCAGATGGAGCGCTTGTCGATCCGATCTGTGTCATTTGCTTGGGGGAGTTACAGAGTAGGATTAGGGATGTGAGCAACGTCAGTTGTTCTGTGACGGGTCGACCTCTCAGAATCTCCCCGGTGTTTGCATTATTTTTTTCAGTTTTTGGCCTGACAGATATGTGGCGTTCAATTCTTTCTTCTGCACTTCTGAAATTTGTAGAGAGAGTGAGAAACAATGTGATCTCTCTCCCTCTCTCGTGTCGTCGGTTCACGGAAGCAACAGTCTACTGCAGTCTCTCGGGTTGACAAAGGCTAGGGAATCCTAAATGCGCTCAACAGTCTTTTGAAGCTCGTGTGGGACACCCCCAAGGGGCACGTCTTGTTCTGTTGTCCTGTTGAAGATTTTTCATATGGGGTGGGGGGGATGTCGAGTGTGGGGAGAACTCTAGAAATGCTGAAGGACAAATACGATGGATGCTGACTTGATTTAACTCTTTACTCTCGTGACATTTTCTCCGCTTGCGGGGCCTTTTCTTTTATTCAAAAGTGCAGGTTTTTCTTTCATCTCGAGTCTTGTTGTCACAAGTTGCCCACAGGGACAAGGGAAATTCTTTTTTTTTTTTCCTATCAATAAAAAAAAACAAATGTTGCTGATGTTTTCTTGGCCTTTTTATACTACGGAGATTCTAGAACAACTTTCTGTAAGATTGAAAGCCAATTTCAAATTTGAAAAAATGAATTTTACTTGCGTGCAATATTTTTGGAGCATGTTCATTGTGACAGCTTTATGGAAATAGAAAGTTACACCTGTATAAACATCTTGATTTAGATTTTGAAAGTCGCATGTTTTTTTTCTGCCTGTAGCTGTGATCCTGCCCCACGTTGGCAAGGTCCGTACCTACATTGACCCCTTTACCTACGAGGATCCTGTCCAAGCTGTGCGGGAGTTCGCAACAGAGATCGACGCGAGCTGCATCCGCATTTTGGACGTCATTGGCGGAGGTGAGTTGACGCAAAGCGGCCTTGCCAGGCCGTGCCAGCACCCGAAATACACATTGAGCTGACCTCAAGTAGTTGGTCCATCCTTGAGAAGCCGGCATGTCCGTTGCTGGGGGCGATGCTCGCGGCTTTGCAGGGCGTTGCTGTACGCGGAGAGAGCTCAAGATGAACGAGCCAACACCACGAACCTGTTCTGCTGCGGTCAGCTTCTGAGCTGTCGCACACCGAAGATGCATCAGGATTTGCAGAACTTCACGTTTATTGAGTCATACCTACTGACTTCGTACATGCTAAGGACATGAGGAAACTCTCATGAGTTGCACTCCAGTGAGTTGGAGAGAGCAAATAACACATTGACGCACACTTACAGCCCAGTGGGCAACCTTGTTGAGAATCACGTGCGTTGTCGGAAAGCAAGTTGTGTTTTCCTTGTACACAATGCCAAATGGACGTGCTAGAAACATGTTTCAACATGTCACGCGCGCATGCTGTTCAGATCCTGTGCACTAGGTTGTCTGCTCGTATTTACAAGAAATTTATATCGTGGAATGGAAAATGCTCATCAAATGCCCCTTCAGAAAAAGGGGCAAGAGACGATTTTTGTGGGTTTCATCGATGATGGTTTGACTGCTCGGAACAACTTGCAGTTTAAAAATACAATGTGGTTTCCAATCTTAGGCACTCTGTACAGAGCTTATTGTCAACACTTTGAACTTTGGTTTCAGTGGTCCGTACTCTTGAAAAAGACAATTCAGAAGTAGATCCTTGGAAAAGGTAAACAAGGTGTCAACCCATAAAGTGAGATTTGACTTTAGGTCGACGATTTTTTTCTCCCCTAACATCGTCGCAACCTTCTCCTCCCTCCAGGCGAATTCGGCGATGTCTGCTCGGGCCTGATGCTGATGCCAGACAAGTCCACCCGCAAGGTGGCTGTCAAGACCCTCAAGACGGGCGCCTCGGACAAGGACCGGGCTGACTTCCTGTCGGAGGCCTCCATCATGGGCCAGTTTGACGACCCCAACGTCATCGAGCTGCTGGGGGTGGTGACCCGCACCCGGCCGGCCATGATCGTCACCGAGTACATGGAGAACCGCTCCCTGGACACCTTCCTGAAGGTGGGCCCATCCAGATTGGCTTCATTTCTCCCCGCTTCATTTTGACCGTTTCCACTCGCAGACAGTGAATTTAAGAGGACAAAATGCCATAGCAGTGATATTTTTGTAATTCATTAACGGAGCAGTCAGAGAGGTTTCTTTTAGACTTTTTCAGGAAGCCTCCGGGTTAGAACTGTTCAGTTTGTAATCAGACTCAATGTAAAAAGTGTCGAGAAAGAAACCTTCCTTAGGACTTACAAAGTCACTGACCTTTGCCACTTGTCTAATTTGGTAATCCCTGATTAACCTTGCTCCTATTGTTCAAAGGTAACTTTTCTAACTTTCAAGTCAAGGGAGTAGACCTTTAACATTATAATGACACCTTGCAGTGTTTGCCTCTATGTGGTCCCTTGAGGAGGGATACTATCCAACTAGTCCCCATAGGAAAGCGCACTCGTAAACAAAGCAGTGTCACTGTTTTGGGTCAATAAAGTTGTTGAAATAGTGCAAGAAGTAATTTGCCGTGGTTACTTTGTCTTCCCCAGGAGAACGACGGCAAATTCTCCGTACCCCAGCTGATCAGCATGATGCGCGGCATCGCCTCGGGCATGCGCTACCTCTCGGAGATGAACTTTGTCCACCGTGACCTGGCTGCCCGAAACATCCTGGTCAGTAGCACGCTGGTCTGCAAGGTGGCCGACTTCGGCCTCTCGCGGAGGAAGCATGAAGGCGCCTACGAAACCAAGGTATGCTGGATGAGGTGGGACGTCCGATCTGGTCCCACACCAGAGACCTATGTGTCCAAACTCTTCTGC